TATTGTCCATTAGGAAACGTGGGTAAATTTCACAAAGGGAAGTGCAAGAATGGACAGCAATTAAATGTCTATGTCAATCACAGCTATATAGATTATTTCATACTAACAATTGTTATGCTTCCTCACTTTTCAGAGAAGACAACCAAGATGAAAAGACAATTCTGTAGTCTTTCATTCAGTGAGCAAAAGGAACAATGTAACGTGCTTTTGACTTGAATAATAATATAAGTCCTGCCGAAACCGGTTTGGCTCAATGGATAGAGCACCGGCCTGGGGACTGAAAGGTCCCAGGTTCGATTCCGGTCAAGTACCTTGGTTGCGGCATATCCCCAGTAGGGGGTGTGCAAGAGGCAGCTGATCGATGACTCTCTCTCATCAATGTTTCTAACTCTATCTCTCTTCCTTCCTCTCTGTACAAAATCAATAAAATATATTTAAAAAATAATAATAATATAAGTCCCAGGTTCCAGGTCCCAGAAAGAAAAAAAATCTACTCAGGGTAAATTCTATTGATAAATTACAAAAGTGAAAAGTAAGAGGTGGGAATTAATAAGGGAACATCGTTGGATTCACAGTGACAATCAAAAGGCATTTCAGAAACAGACCTAGAATTATTCTAATAGGTATTCCACAAGTATCTTTCAGGTTTTCAACACCAATCACATTGAAAAACTACACCCAATGATTTAATAAGTTGATTGTACTCCAAGTGCATATCAACTTAAGTGAACTGAAGAATTGGATCTACTAGTTAGGATTTATTCCAAAATATTCTGTTTTCCCACTGCTTTAATTCCCATTGTTCAACTTTCCTGGGTAATTAATATTGTGAGCTCTTCTTTTTCTTAACTCCCATCTATAATGTAACTTCCAAATAATTTAAATATTTGGGATACTTAATAATAAATAGTCTGTTCTTTTTATTTTAATCTTTATTGATTTGAAAGAAAGCAACATCGATTTGTTGCCCCACCCACTCATGCATTTATTAGTTGACCCTTGACTCTTGTATGTGCCTGGACCAGACATTGAACTGGCAACCTCAGGGCATCAGGACAACGCTCCAATCCAGCTTCCCAGCCAGGGAAAGCACTCTCTTCTTAATTTTAAAAATGTTGAGTTGAACATTTTACAATTTTTTTTTAATCCAGTTAAATTTTTCTATTAATAAGTTAGTGAATTTCAGAGAGAAAAATAAGATGTTTACACTATATAGCCTCTCCATTCCTACAAATATTAGGTATAAATAAAAATCACCATAAAATAAACTTAGACTTACATACCGGCTTCCCAGCTCTCTTCACATTTTTAGTATAAGAAACCTGCTATTTTCACTTGGAACATTAAAGCTCAAGTAACACAACAATTAAAGTTTTGATCTTGTAGTTCAACTTTAAAGTTTCACACCACCCCCACCTCATCACTCCTCTACATCCTTCACCTTGAAAGAAAGAGCACAAACCTGGGGATTGTTAAAAAGTAAAAATTAAATCTATAATGTTGTTTGAACTCAAAAAGTGTTGTCGTTTGTAAAGTTGACAAGGTTCTTTTACTTTTTAATGCTTCCCCGAGTGCTTGTCAATTATATAAAGTTGTGAGTAATGAATGGCATAAAACGCAGTTCCAAAGTCTTTAATTTTTATTTTTTAGGGACTATATTACATGTTAAAACATTACATACTAGAGTAAAACAAACAAAAAATATAGAACTACTTTTTCCCACTTACTAGTCCTTAGCGGGAACATTTGAGATCTTGCTCCCTGGCATGTCGTCAGTTTGGCTCAAATTAACTCTTATAAAAATAAAAAGTCCTTAGCTTTGCCTAGAATTTTCGTACAGCCAACGTTAACTCTTTTTAATGTTCTGACTAGTGTATCTTACCGTATGCATTCACTATGGTGTTCCTGTATGATTTCTATCCACATCAACTTAGGATAGGACAGGGAAGCTCAAGCTGCTGATGCCTTTGTGGTTAGTATAATAAATACCTTTCATCCTACTTATGAGAGAATTAAGGGGACGGATTAGTGAAAATTCCAGTTAACTAAGGTTTTAATTATGTACTTCCAGATGATGCACCCAGAATTCCCCTCCCTCATTTCCTCGAGATCTTCAAGTTAATCAAAAGGGGCTGGTTTAGAGTTACAAGCTACTTCCCAAACTGCCTGGAACAAAACATTTTCTATAATTTCTAAGAGTTAGATTAAAAAATAGTTTGGCTATCTCTTCAATAACTTCAACTGTGTCAAACTGGCTTTCTTTTCCCCTCGAAGATTATGGTGTCAGAGCAGGAGAGTGAGATTCTTCGTAAGTGTAAATGTATGGTGTTAATATAAGCTGATTTTATTAGTTCCTATTTAAATTGTTAGATAAAAGTGTAACAAAATTTGGATTTCAAATTTCCACCTGATAATATGACATCTTTTACCGTTTACAACTGATACTTATCATTTGCACACTTTATATAAGTTGGGAGATTGAACACATTTTAAGACCTGATGTGTGGCTTAGCTGGAGCATCATACTAGAAACCAAAAGGTTGTGGATTCAACTCCCTGTCAGAGCACATGCCTGGGTTGAAGGTTTAATCCCAGGCCATGGTGGGTTATGGGAGGCTACTAATTACTGTTTCTCTCACATCGATGTTTCTCTTTCCCTCCCTCTCTCTCTCTAAAATCAATAAAAACACAGGGTGAGGGTTAGAGAAAAGTTTCAAATAACCTGTATGGAAATGTACATTATATAAGGAAAAAAGAATGTCAACTATAATTGAAAAAAATTTTAAATGGTAAAAAAAAGAAAAAAAGAAGAGGGGAGAAAGAAACAAAGACTTACTTTTTTTTTCTTCTGTCTTTGCACAAGAAAACTTTAAAAATGTTTATTTTTAAGATATTGCGCTGAGTTTCGGAATCGGATTTTCAAAAGGAAAAATATGATCCTATGTTTTTTGACAAATCACCCTGGCAGGATAGCTCAGTTGGTTAGGGTATCCTCCCCATACATCAAGGTTGTGCCTTGAATCTTTAGTCAGGGCACATACCAGAATCAACCAATGAATGTAAAAACAAGTGGAACAGCAAATCAGTTTCTCTCCCCATTTCTCTCTCTCTCTCTCTCTCTCAAATCAATCAATAAAAAAATTACTTTATGTGAAATTACTTGTTTTAAGAAAAGATACTTTATGTGGCATATGAACCACAAGGTGGTGCTATAATTCCATGCCAGTACTAATATTTTAGAAGTTAATTGATAATTTTTTTAAACTCTTGATTTTTTAAATATATATTGTGTGTGTATGTATATATATATATATATATATACCGTATTTTTCGGACCATAAGATGCACTTTTTTTTCCCCCAGAAGTGGGGGGGAAAAGTCCCTGCGTCTTAAAGTCCCTGCGTCTTATGGTCCAAATATAGCCTACACATATACTTTAAAAAAAAAAGTTTTTTTACTTGCCCGGCTCTGTGTGGTTTCTGTGTGCTTGCCCGGCTCTAAAATGGTTCTAAATGCTGCTGTTTACTTTACAGGGTTGATTACATGTGTTTATGACTGTGATGTTGGGTTTTAATGCACATAAAATATTTTAGGACACTATTTGTTTCAGAATCTTTTTTTCTTCATTTCCCTTCTCTAAAAACTGGTGTGTCTTATGGTCCGGAACGTCTTATGGTCCGAAAAATATGGTGTATGTATATGTGTGTGTGTGTGTGTGTGTGTGTGTGTGTGTGTATATATATATATATATATATATATATATATATATATATATATATATAAAATTGTTTTCAGAAAAGAAGAAACAGGGAAAGACAAAAACATCAACGATGAGAGAGAATCATTGATCTGCTGCCTCCTGCACACCCCACATTGGGAATGGAGCCCGCAATGTCCAGATGTGTCCTGACTGGGAACTGAACCATGACCTGGTTCACAGGTTGACACTCAACCACTGAGCAACACTGGCCAGGCTAAACTTGATTTTTATAATTTTCCTGTAATTGAAAATATAAAGCTAACTGGATTTGCCCTAGAAATACTTACTGAAACTCTTCTAATTACAAAGTTTTATGCTAACTTCAAAAGCTCCTAATTTTAAAGTATAATGACTATGCATATATTAGAATATTAAAAATGCTTTCTTAAAAGTTATTTCTACTTAGAATTTTAACTTTATGTTAATGTTAAATATGTGACAAATTTCAAATTACACACATAATATTAACAGAAGGGTAAATAATATACAATCAGATGAACTAAATAGCAATAAAAAAAGTACTCTCTTTTCCTCTCAAAGAGAATCAATGTTCTTGAAAAATACCCAGGATGATTTTTGCATTTTTATTTATAAAGTTAAAAAAACAACATTTTATTTAGTAACCTAAATTTATTCTTTCTCTTAACTTTATCTAAAACTTTTTCTCTCTCCAGAAAAATATGTTACTTCCCATCACTTAAAAAAAAACAAAAATACCCCACTGTGTATCTTGTAATACTGGATGGCCACCATCTGTGTCTGTGCTGCTGGTCTTAAAATGTGTTACAGAATAGAGCACTAAAATCCTCAACACATTTTTCACAGTTAATTTTCCGACTTGCTTCTAAATCCGAAAGAGAATCACGCCCTTACTTTCTCAATGGTAACTGAAAATGTGTTGCTGTTTTTTCACTGAGCATGAAATTGTTGCAGTTTTGTTTTATTTCATTTTCAATGAGCATTTTTAACTTTTCATTGCAACATATTCATCAGTACAGATGGCAAAATGGTATGTACGACAGCCTCTTGGGTACAATATGCAAGTTCCAGTTGGAGTGTTTCCAACAGGATGTAAGCTATGGTCCTGAAGCCTGTACTTTTAAAAACATATTACTTAGCACACTGCCAACAAATGTCAACACAAAAATACTGTGCTGTAATGAGTTCACTCTGTAAAAGAAGTGTACCGGCACCTAAGTTTTCCTAGGAAATAAAACAGAGTAAAAGCATATAATCATAGCACAAAAATATTTAAATATTTATTCAATATTGCATGAAAAAGCTCATATACCAAAAGGAATTAAAATTCTTAACAAAATTACTGCAGTATATTAAAATTTATAGGGAATTCTTAAAATATACAACATATACAGTAGCAAAAGTCCTGGAAAAGTTCATGTGGAAAAATTCATAGTGAATGATTTGAACTTTTCAGTAACTCTGCAGTTTCTTCAAACCTGAAAAACAATAATACATTAAGTAAATAAATATCATAATGAGGCATAGGTTTTAAGTTGCTAAAATTATGTGTTTAAGCTAAAATAAATTTCAACATTTCCCTTTTTTACAAATATAGTCACTGTTAGTAAGTTAAGTATACTATGGCCAGAAGAGAGGAATAACAACAATTGGAGTCAATTATTTCTAAAAGAGCATAAGTTATTTCAGTACTTCTCAAATTTCAAGAAATATTATAGTTTTTTAAAAGTAGGCTACCTAATTACTTAAATACAATTTCGTATTTCCTTTCAACTGTACTTTAGATACCCGAATCACCATCCTCACTTATCATTTAATATTTTCCATAAATCAGTTATCAAAAAGAGATAATCCTCTTGATTAACTATCAACCAAAAATATTCCTGCACTCTTTAATCTACAATTAATTCCATTAACAATGTTTTATATCACTTGTTGGAAACCAAAACAGTGACTCATCTCACAAACACATAACTGTAGGAGGATTTATTATCCACTTGAGTCCAGAAGGAAATTCCACACCTGATCAGAGACCTTTAAGGTTTGAAACACACATGCACATTCTACATATACTGTAATCCAATACAATTCCCTACAGATAAATGAATTTCTGTTGCCCCTTTCTGTTACTTACATTTTTTTCATCTTTTCCATTTTCTGAATTGTTGTTTCCTTTAATTTAAAAATCAACAAATTTAGGTTATTTCTCAAAATAAACCATCATCAAAGATGGAATATGAGCATATAAAACACAGACTAAAACATTACATTAAATACTGTTTACTTATCACAAAGAATTTTTATGAGAGATTAAGATTTGCATGGTCTCACTATTTTTCTTGCCAGTGGCATCTATAACTAAATTTAATGTTTGCTTGTTCTCCTGACCCTCGAAAGGAAATCATCTAAGCAGTTGCCAGTTTTTCTTACCTCTGAAATTTCTTTCAGACCACAGTAATTAAGAGTTGAGGTTCTGGGAGTTGTGTCTCTAGATACTGTTCTATAACAGGAAGACAGAGGAATAGCTAATTTCTCTTTGCTTTTGCTTTGCTTCTCTTTGCTTTTGCTATCTGTGGAGAAATCAATTTTTCAGGTTATCTTTTCCTTTAAAAGTGGAGTCAAATATCTAAAAATTGTATTTATACATGAAAGAAAAAGAAACATTTATCCTATGTAATATGCAAACTGACCATCAATCCAAGACACAAGATGGCCACCACAATATGGTGGCAGGGGAGGGCAGTTGGGAGGGACCAGACCTGCAGGGGAGGGCAGTTGAGGGCAACCAGGCCTGCAGGAGAGGGCAGTTGGGGGGGAGGGGGGAGGAGACAATGTCTGTATGGGAGTGCAATGGGGGAGAGGGGGACAGGCCTGTAGGGGTTAGGCGTTGATCAGACTGGCAGGGGAGTGGTTAGGGGTGATTAGGCTGCAGCCAGAAGTGGTTAAGGGCAATCTGGTGGCAAGCAGTTAGGAGCCAGCAGTCTTGAATTTTAAGAGGGATGTCCGACTGCTAGTTTATTTGGGATCGGGCCTAAATGGGCAGTCAGACATATCTTGAGCAGTCCCAGATTGGAGAGGGTGCAGGCTGGGCTGAGGGACAACCCTCTACCCACATACACGAATTTCATGCACTGGGCCTGTAAAATATATATATATATATATATATATATATATATATATATATATACACACACACACACACACACACACACATATATGTATATATATGGCTAATATGCAAAGTGTCCCTTCAGGAATTCAATTGCTTGCTATAATGTGCACTGACCACCAGGGGGCAGTTCAGAACATGGCAGGCAACCAGCAGCAGAGGGGCATTGAGGGAGCAAGGGAAGGAGATGTGCTATTTTCTGACTAGAGGACGCAGAGGGACAGGAGGACACAGGGGAACATAAAAACAGAGATGCCAGCAGTTAGATGCAGGTCTAGGCCTGAAAAGGAAGGAAGTCTGAAGGCAGGGAGGTGGGCAGAACCGCGCGGTGGCAATGCACAAGGGGTGAGGGAAGGAGGCAGGGAACCTGATCAGCCTTGATCGCCGGCCAGGCCTAGAGACCCTACCTGTGCATGAATTTCATGCACCAGACCTCTAGTTTTAATATATAATGGTTACTGGTATGCAGATGAGATTTTAATATTCTTCTAAGATAATGACCTACATATAAAGACCTAGATGTTAAAAACTGGCCAATAATAACTACAAAAGGCAATATTACCTTTGTCATAACAATCAATTGAATAATAGGCAAGTTAATTTATTTTTAAATACAAGCTACTAACTTATTGCAACTGAAAATCCTCCTACCACTGAATAAATTACAGATCACCACAGATAAGACATGTACCTGTCAAATGGCTTAAGGACCATTTTGCTACAAAAACAAGGCCAGAAAAAAAACAAAACAAATACTTTTATTATAAGCCTACACAGAGGACTAAAACAACTAAAAAGTCTTTTACTTTCATCTCTTACAGAGACAGCATCTTCTGACTACTTCTCTTGCCAATTTGCTCCACTTCTCTGCTTACTCATTAGCATGAATTTGGACAAAATGCCCAGCACAAGATCAACATTATTTGATGTTAGAGGCCCAGCGTGTGAAATCACGCAAGATCTAGATCTGCCCTGTGGGAGCCGAGCCACAGGCCCCACCTCGTCATGTGAGCTGCAAATACCAGCTTGGGACAGGTGTTTTGTGCACTTCCTGGCGACTGGTCGTGGTCGTGACGCTGTTACAACCACAGGCCTTTTATGATATAGATATAATCCCTGGTGTTCTAATTCCAAATTTCCAAGGGAGACAAAATGATTTGGCTCAACACCTTTTGTATTGGTATTGCTTTTGATCAGGTACTTATTCTTGATCCAGTTATTTGAGCTCAAAGGTCAAGGTCACATGGCACAACTTTGAAGACTAGCTACATCCCACTTTTAGCAGGCTGTATACTGTTTACAGGTTACTGACAAATGCGTTTTATTCTCATGTTATTACATATGCATAGCTGCTACTTGAGTGTAAATTGAAACTTGGAGATACATTTTTATTATTCTACTAGAGGCTTGATGCATGAAATTCATGCATTCAGGTGGGGGTGGAGGGTCCCTCAGCCCAGTCTGTGCCCTCTCAAAGTCCAGGAGCCCCTCGATTGATTGCCCCAAAGAGGTAGGCCCTGCCCACCTGGCCTGGGCTCTGCAATAGATAACCCCCTCAGAGAGAGGCCCTGCCTTCATGGGGTAGTCTGGGCCTCCCTCTTTGGGGCTATCATGGAGCCCCCCAACTGATCCATCACCCTGCCAGCTGATGGCCTGGGCCTCCCTCTGCAGGGCGATCATGGGTTGATAGCCAGGCCTCTGACCAATCGCATCCTCCTTGGGTGGCCTGGCACCAGTGGTTGTCATAGTGTTGTTGTCTGGAAGGTTGTCCTGATGGTCATTCTGTTTAATCATTCAGTCAATTTGTCTATTATGCTTTTATTATTATACATAGCACTTAGCAATTAAAGGGGTTAAAAAAACTCTAAAAGTTTGCAATTCTATAGACTAGAATTTATTCAACCACTATGTCACAAAAGATATGTAAGCTGGCTTCTTTAGCAATCCTTGGCTTCAGTAGTCTGTAAGTTTATATTTTCTTTGTTCCTAAGAGATTTGCAGTTTCTAAAATATAAGGCTTGGGAATATTAAAATTACCAGATACCTATGAAAATTATTTTTCTAAACTGTTGATCAAGAGATCTTTAAGGTTTGAAACACATATGCACATTCTACATATACTACTAGAGGCCTGGCACACAAAACTTGTGCACAGGGGTGTGTGTATGGGGGTGTCCTTCAGCCTAGCCTACACCCTCTCCAATCTGGGACCCCTTGAGGGATGTCCAACTACCACTGGGATCAGGCCTAAATGGGCAGTCAGGACATCCCTCTCACAATCCAGGACTGCTGGCTCCCAACTGCTTGCCTGCCTGCCTTCCTGATTGCCCTTAACCGCTTCTGCCTGCAAGCCTGATTACCCCCTAACCACTCCCTTGCCAGCCTGATTGATGCCTAACTGCTACCCTACCAGCCTGTTTGCCCCTAACTGCCATCTCCTGCAGGCCTGGTCATCCCTAACTACCCTTTCCTGCAGGCCTAGTCACCCCCAACTTCCCTCCTCTGCAGGTCTGGTAACCCCTTATATGCCCTCCCTTGCAGGCCTGTCTCCCCATCCCCAACTGCTCTCCAGTGCAGGCCAGGGTCCCCCCTTTCCCCCATCTACCCTTCCCTGCATGCCTGGTCACCCCCAACTTCCCCCCTCTGCTGGCCTGGTCCCTCCCCTGATGGTCATCTTGTAGTAGCCATCTTGTGTCCACATGGGGACAGGATCTTTGACCACATGGGGGCAGCCATCTTGTGTGTGGGAGTGATGGTCAATCTGCATATTACTCTTTTCTTAGATAGGATAGAGGCCTGGTGCATGGGTGGGGGCCAGCTGGTTTGCCCTGAAGGATGTCCTGGATCAGGGTGGGGGTTCCCTTGGGGTGTGAGGCAGCCTGGGAGAGGGGCCTGTAGTGGTTTGCAGGCCAGTCACACCCCCTAGCAATCCAAGCAAAGACCCTGGTATCTGGGGTTTATTTATCTTACAATTCAAACTTTGTAGCCTGGAGTGGAGCAAAGCCTTCTGCTTGTTCCTGGCAGCAGCCACTTCTGTTGGGGTATATGTATCTTCTATAATTGAAACTTTGTAGCCTGGAGTGAAGGCCTGGGCAGGCCTGGGTGTGCAGAAAGCTTGGCTTCCTCCATTGCCTGGGAAATCCAAGACTCCCTCCTGCTCTCTGTAGCTGTAGCCATCTTGGTTGGGTTTATTTGCATTTTGCTGGTGGGCATGGCTTGTGGGTGTAGTGGAGTGATGGTTAATTTGCATATTACTCTTTTATTAGGTAGGATAATCCAATACAATGCTATACTGCCAATACTACTACCATAAGAACTTACCAAGTTTCAGAATATTCCTGCTACTACTACCAGAAGCATAGTCTTCATTTGTTTCATCATAGTTGATATAATCATCATTCTGGAAAAATATAGTTTAGTATTTAGAATGAAATGAAAAGAAAACTGTTCTTATTTTACATTATTACTGCTAAGTATAAAATATAAAGATGACATGATAAATAAATGTTTAAATGTTTAAGTATTTTATTTATAAAACAACATATAATATTCCTAAGAATAAGAAATATTTTGAATGTTGGAATCAGATAGTAACCTTCTTGAATTTACTTTTTAGGAAGGATAGACTAGGACTAGAAATTAAGATCCTGAGTAAACTAAGAAACAATTTCTCAGATTAGATGTGGCAATGGCAAATTTGGTGACTATCTCTATAAAATTTACAATTTGATTGAAGTAAATGAGTAAGAAAAGGAAGTTCTAATTTTAATTGTTGCTCTCCTGCCAACTTTTTCTCCACCCTGTAAAATAGGCCATTTGTACTATGACAGGATATGAAATAATTTCAAGCTTTTTAAAAACCAAAGTAAACATTATTTTACCTGATTTTAAATATTTCAAGTGCTGATATCTCTAAAAGCTCAAATGGTAGGTTTGTCAAATTATCTTATTTGATGTAGAGAAAAACAATAGCCATGCCAATAGCAATAAAACAGGCATGTCTAAATAAAACTTCATTCCCACCAAACATTTTCCCATTACCCAAATATCCTCTTATTTAGTATTTCCAAAGGAATAAACACAATAATAAATAAAAATTTCACTGTATATGAGATATCCTATAAATACTAAGGAAAGAAAATACCTTTTTGGACAAAAGCAATTCTGTTTCAAGAAGAGTGACACGACTTATTAGATTGGTCCAGGTTTTTTCATCTACCATCACTTTTCCTTTCATTTTTTCTTCCAAAGAATCTAATTTGCTCTCCATCTGAGTCAGTTTCTTAAGCTTTTCTTGGCATTCAGCAAGCAGAGTCTTTAGTTCAATAAGCTCAGTATTAACTTTTATATCCTAAAATATTAAAAATAATATTACCCTAATTGAAATTCCTTGAAAATTCAACATATTCCCATTTCCATTGTGATACGTGTGTGTGTGTATGTGTGTGTGTGTGTGTGTGTGTGTGTGTGTGTGTGTGTTGATTTCAGAAAGGGAGGAGAGGGAGAGAGAAACATCAATAATAAGAGAGAATCAATGACTGGCTGCCTCCTACTGGAGATCGAGTCCAGGCATATGTCCTGACTGAGACTCAAACCTTGACCTCCTGGTTCATAGGCTGATGCTCAAACACTGAGTCAGGCTGTCTGGACCCATTGTGTTATTTCAATAGTTACAATAGGCAACAGAGCTTGAGAGTTAAGACTGCTACCTTTGGAGGCAGACTACTTGGACAGTCTAACATATATGATCTTGATGCTTCAATTTACTTATTTAAAAAAATTCCTACTTCATATGGTTCTTGTGAGGATTAAATAAGTTACTTTTCATAAGGCTCATTTGAACAACAGTGGGTAGTATAATATTACTGTCACTAACAAGCTTCTTGTAGCACCCAGCACAAAGCTAAGAGGAAATGACCAAGAAATGGCAGTGCACTGAAAGTATTTAGTTTGCTATAAATGGGAAATAAGCCTAATGGCCATCTGGTAGTTTTATAAATGCCAACTGTATACAGACGTAGAGACATCACAAGACACAGAAGACAGAAAAAAGAGTTTTAGCAGAAGCAGTAGAGATTAGACACTATACTAGGATCTGTGGCAATACTGTAATAGAAAAGGTACTCTTAGAGAAAAGAGAAAAAGACACGAAGGGCAAAAAAAACAGAAAATGAAAAGGCAGCAGTGCATCAGTTTTTTTCCATTCATCAATATAGGGAACAGGTGATAGAGAATCTTCATTGTACAAAGCAATATATCTCTATATCTCATTAAACTAAATTCCTTGAAGAGACATACCATGTCTTTATCTTCTCTGCATTACCCATAACACCTAAAAATATGCAGTAAATAATGTCAAGTTATATTCAGTAAGGCTTACTGATTCTTAAGTAATAGCAACAAGGATAATGTGCCATGATTAATAATTCAAAAGTCCAGAGATATTCCAAAGTTTAGATGCTGAAGTAATCATGTACATTGGAATAAGAAATATTGGCATCTGCTAAAAACATCTCAAATTCTTACTTGTTGCTCAGACTCGATTTCAGGGACCTTTACTTCAGGAATCTGTATTTCAGTATCCTTTAAGTCACTCACAGCAAATGCTTCATTCACATCTGTCATTGCACTTGACGTACTGTCAGAAATGCTCACACCATCTTCATTGTAGAGGTGACGGATCACCACAGCTTTCTTCTGCTCAGAAAAAGCTATGTCAGAGCAGCTTCCATGTTTCCCTCACACAATTATTTTACACACACACAGTCACTTTGCAAAAGAACATCTTATCTTCCCTTTAAGATTTATAAATGCTTAAATTACCACATATAATGTGGACATAAAACATTAATTAAGCTATTAATATTTTATGAGTGGTGATAAAATTGTGGTTATGATATTTTAAAGCCTTCTTATATATAAGAATATTGAAATATTTCTTCAACGATGTCAGCATTTGTTTCAAACTGTTTCAGGTTTTGGAGAAAGATGTTGAGAAAACTGGTTATAATAAAGATGAAACAAGATGAGCAAAGAGTTGATAAATTGCTGAAACTGAGAATGAGTTGTATTTGAAAATTACTTTAAAAAAAATTTCATCATAAAACAGGTTACCACATAAATCATGCAAATAATCAAGAATTGACTCTGTGAATAAGACTTGTCACAATTTTTTTAAATTAGACAAACCACAAAATATCAGACGTTCAGCTAATGATTCAAGCTAAATAGTGACAAAGGGAAAGTCCTGAGAGTAAGACTTATTCAGCCATAGGTTCTGAGCAGATAAGGGCAGGAAAGATCAACAAAGAGAAGATATTCAAAACACTAACTCAAAACCAGAGTATAGATTTAGGAACTATCAATCATTGGATACTTCACATTCCTGATAGAGAAATATGAGTGCAGGTAAATGAAAGCACATAACTTATAACTAATGGCATGCTTTATTTAGGTTCCCATGTTGTTGTAGGAAGACTAAAGACATAATTAGGAGTAACTATAAATGAGTACATAATATAACCTTCTTAAATTATTGCTATTCTATCTAGGAAACAAGTCAGAAATAGGAATTAGAAATATAAAGTTTGTTCCATTCTACACTTCTACTCTCTTAACTTTTGGAATATTTCCCAGATCACATGATATGCATTGCTATAAAACCCTTATGGTCTAATATCTAACTGGATTGTTTTAACCAGGTGCTAGCTAGAAGAAATAAAAAAAAAGGGGAGCCTTGTACATTGGATTAGGTAGGTAGGTAGCTGTATTTTCTGACCTTTCCTGAAGTTGTGAACCTGCCAGTAATATCAATGCCAACAGGTTCTGCAGATGACCTCTCGCTGCTTGAACTAGGTTCTGACTTAGCACAATTGACTTTCTTTCTTTGTAGTGATAGAGTCTAAAAAAAAGAAAAAAAAAAGTATTAAGATGTAAAAAGTTTTGTGTAAAAACATGTTCTAGTATACTTAATTTCTATTATCATTTAAATTTTATATGTAAAATATGATTGTCAAATAATGAGTCTAAATTCCATATATTTTGAAAACTAAGAAGTGATGAAAATGTACTGTTTAAACTGTTAGTTTAGGATCAGTACCTCCAAGTTGCAAATGTGCAAATACAAGTGACTAGTATTTAAAGCAAGCACCAGGTATTATATGGTTACACAAATCTGTGAATAATGCAGTAATTATGCTATGTATTAATTTGCTATCTAGGGTATTGATTTTATACATTAAAATACTGGCCACTGAGCATAAGTTAAAATATGTTTAAAAAAAATTACCTTATCAAGACCACTCAACTCCTTGTGCTTTTTTATCACACAATTCAAAATATCACAGATAATTTGAATTTTCCATTCTGCAAATCCACATTGGAGAAACTGCTTTTTTGTCAAGATTGGTTTATAATTAAATTGATCACGAAGAAGCTATAAAGAGAGAATAGATCAACAAAATATTGGGAACAATCTCTTTAACTAAAATAATAAATGGTCACCTGGTTAGGGTGGCCTTTTATTTACAATAAAAGGTAGAAAGAGATTTATGACCAGGCAGCAGATATGTAGGTAGAAACAGGTATCTAAGGATGTACCAAAAATAGATGGCTGTCCAGAGAGATGGAAAAATATACCCAACTAGTGGCCTGCCTGGTGCACAAAATTCGTGCACATTAAAAGGGAATTAATTAGAGGAAATATTTTAATATTGCTATTTGCCCTTACTCTAAAATAGAAGTGTCAGAGATGAAAAATTTAGTAAAATGTATATGAAAATCTTCCTCCTGTAAGAGTCTGGGGTGTGCCATGGGACCCAGAGTCAAGTCCCACCCACTCACACAAACCTTGAAATTGCACAAGACCTAGAACTGGTTGGCCCCAACCCCAGTGGGCGAGATCCAGACCCAGCCGGCCCCAGCCCTATCAAGCCCCGCTAGGCAGGGGTCACAACCTCAAGTTCCCTAGCCTGGCACCAGGAAGGTGACACAGCCTCAGATTCCCCCAGCCCAGTGCTGGGCAGAGGGCGCAGCCTCAGGTCGCTGGTCAAACTGGGTGGTGGGGTGCAGCCACAGGTCCCCGGTCAAGCCCTCAGGGTGAGGGGCACAGCCTCATGTTCCCTGGCACAACCTCAAGTTCCTGGTCAGGCAAATGGGGCAGGGGGTGTGGCCTGAGGTCCCCCAGCCCAGCACCAGGGTGGGGGGGGGGTGCACATGAGGTCAAGCCCCACTGGATCAGGGGCATGGCCTAAGGTCACCTGTCAAGCCCCACTGGGCAGGGGAACAGCCTGAGGTCCCCTGGCCAGGCACTGGGGCGGGGGGTGCACTTTGAGGTCCCCCATCAAGCCCTGCCAGGAAGAGGGCGCGGCCTGAGGCCCCCATCAAGCCCCACCAGGCAGGGGGTGTGGCCTGAGGTCTCCACCCTGGCCCAGCACCATGAAGCTTCAGGTCCCTGCAGATGGCTTGTTAAGGCTCATTACGGCTCATTACAGGAACCCCGCCTCCACTGGGGGCACAAGCCATCTTGTGTTACAGGAACCCTGCCTCTGCTGTGGGTGTAGCCATCTTGTGATGGCGTGAGGGTCAATTTGCACATTACCTCTTTATTGTATAGGATGATCCTAATAGTTACTAGAAATACTCCTTACCAGATAAGTCAGAAACCATAGATTTATGTGTTTATACTTCTTCTAGTATATGATTTTTTAGACAAGTCAGTAGGCCTCTGAGTTTCAATTTCTCATTTGTAAAATGAGAGCAATAGGCCAGACCAGTAATTTCCAAAACCTACTCTTAAACCCTAATATTACTTGGAAGTGCCTCTTAGGCTTCCAAAGAAGTTTTCTGGGTGAAAGACAAAGAAAGGAAAGATTAAACAGAGAATCTACACATGAAAGCTCCTATTTCATCATGTGCAACTTACTACTTAAAAAAGAAAAATTTGATTTGATACAACAAATGGGTTTTATCTTTTCTAAAAAAGTTTTAAAAAAAAACAGAGAACTTAAGCAAAAACTAATGATTATAAGTAGGGTGTTTAAAGAACAAAGTATGAGATTAAGTGCATAATACATAATACACGTGTAAATACTAGGGTAGATATAAGACATGGTCCTAGTATACAAGGAACATGAAAACTCAGTCAAGCTCTACAAATTATAACTAGATTAACTTATAATTCTATATACCACAAACTTTACTCAATAAAACCACACTTCTTTCTAGCTTCTGCCAGCATACCAAATTTTACTAAAGTTTGTTGTAAAAAATGGCAAATGATACCAATGACAAATAGTTTCCAGTTGTCATATTTAATAGAGTATGAAACATAAAGCAAACTTCAATTACATATTGATTGCAATAGGGATTTCATTTAAATGAGGTAAATGCATATGAAAATACTGTCAACTATACATACTGCATATAAATTATGAAATTATAAAAACATTAATCTGGGGAAAAAAAACAACCACCGATGACTTCTAAAACAGTCCTATGTTAAAAGCCTAGGTTGCATCACTCCCTCGTGCAACGTTGTCACAAGATGGCTGTGTGGACAGCGGATGCAGGGCCTGGTGGCTGCTCAGCGCTGTGAGGCCTGTGGGTCCCATGGCTCTGTGCAGCGCAAAGGAGGCCGGTCCCAGTGTCTGCCACTTCAAGCAGAGGAGGTGGGTCGTGGCAGGGGAGGACAGTTGTGAGTGATCAGGTCGGCAGGAGAGGGCAATTGGAGGCAATCAGGTTGGCAGGGGGGCAGTTGTGGGTGATCAAGCCAGCAAGAGGGGTGGGGGAGCAGTTGTGGGCAATCAGGCCAGCAAGAGAGGGCAATTGAGGGTGATCAGGTCGGCAGGGAAGCAGTTAGACATCAATCAGGTTGGCAGGGGAATGGTTAGGGGGTGATCAGGTTGGCAAGCAGAAGCGGTTAGGAGCAATCAGGCAGGCGAGCAGTTAGAAGCCAGTGGTCCCGGATAGTGAGAGGGATGTCCTCTGGGATTGGGCCTAAACCAGCAGTTGGACATCCCCCAAGAGGTCCCAGATTGGAGAGGGCGCAGGCCGGGTTGAGGGACACCCCATACCCCTGCACGAATTTCGTGCACTGGACCTCTAGTTATTTCATAAACTCAAACATACCTTATAGACAGTATCTATAAAGCGCAAGTCATTCTTTGCTATGAGTTCTACATTGGATTCCATCAGAAGTTCTGCTACATAAGGAGAATATGAGGTAAGAGAATAGCTGATGATGGGTAAAGATGCTGCTAAATCTCCCTTAACCAAACTGTTGGGGGGAAAAAAGAAAAAGGTTTTTAATGAGCATAAGTCCACAAAGTTAGAAAATTGGGGCAATACAAGAATTATTGTCAATAGTTTATAGCGACACTATAGCCATAATAAAGTGATGCATAAGACTTTTTATATTCTATCCTCAACACTAAATTAGTCTAGTCAATTACTATGAAATTATATTACTCATTTGCTCAAATAATTACAATAGCTTTCTAATACCAATAGAAAATCTAGTACATTTGGTACACATATATGCTGCATATATATTAAGAAATTATAAAAACATAAATCTGAGAGAAAAAAACACCGATGACTTCTAGAACAATCCTATATGTTAAAAGCCTAGGTTGCATTACTCCCTCGTGCAACGTTGTCACAAGATGGCTGTGTGTACAGTGGATGCAGGGCCTCGTGGCTGCTCAGCGCTGTGAGGCCTGTGGGTCCCATGCTCTGTGCAGCGCAAAAGAGGCCGGTCCCAATATAAACAAATGTACCACCTTACAGAGGTACACTATATGCTCTTGTAAGCACTTGTTACCTTACCTCTTATGCTTCTTATCACAAACTGCAAAGGTAAAACATTATGAATTCTAAGTTATAGATGATGAAACCATAACTAGTCTGATCAGTATCTTCCCTTGTATTAGGCCCATTTGAAATCCGTACTTATCAGTTTATGCTAATTCCTCCAGAAAGGTATCCCACTTTTCTCTGCCTGTTATTCATTCTCCATACATCATTTGTCAGATACCAAGCTTTTCATGAAGCCATTCTTAATGTTCTGATCCATATTTCTCTTTCCCAGAATGATTCCCTGGCTATTCAGTATCTGATACCTCATGCCTGTCTTGTACTCTTATCTAATTGTCTATACATATGAATCTCATTTTCTCCATGTGAAGTAGTTTCACAGATTCTCCCACAACAAAGCACAGGAGAGGCCAGTTCAATTACCCAGTTATGTATGTTCAATTGAAGTAATAATGCACTTATGTAAAACATTTGTTTTCCACAAAATTCAAGATGTACATAAATCTCCCTATTCCCACTCCAATATTTTTAATAAGGCAGAGAGCAAGTAATGATCATAGCATTACAATTTGTTTTTTAGGATAAATATAAATTGTTTCTCTTTTATGTTTATGGATATAATATTTTACCCATGAGAAAATTGCTCTGGCAACCTTTTTCATTTATACAACAGTTTAAAAAAGACACACACAAAAAATGCGTTTGAACAGCAAAAGTCTGTCCTCTTTTATGCATGTTATGAGTAGAAGACAGCCAGGTCTGCATTTATCATCTCATATAAAACAACCTCAAAAATCTTGATTATCTATGGACTAAGAACTTTGATTAGAAACAGTAAGAACAGGTATTATAAACTGGCACATCAAAACAAAAAACAGCAAATCACAAGAAAAAAATTTTAAAATGGGAAAAAGTGGAAAGAACCGAAATATGTATATCTGTGGCTGGCTGTGTATGTGAGGGTAGTATATCTGAAACAGCAGCAAGTAGTATTAACTATCTCAATAGACCCTGCAGATATTACTATATCATGAAATAATCTAAAAATGATTGTTTTTAATGACATTCTTGGTCAATAAGAAAATCAAACGTATAAGCAGTGTATGCAGAAGAAAGGGACATAATCGGTATCTTTTTAAATTATTCCTATACAGAATGTCTTTTAAAATATTGATGTTAGCCCTAGCTGGTTCGGCTCAATGTTTGGAGTGGGGGCCTATGGACTAAAGGACCCCAGGATCAATACCTGTCAAGGGCACATGCCTGGGTTGGGAGCTTTATCCCCAGTAAGGGTTGTGCAGGAGGCAGCCGATCAATAATTCCCTCTCATCACTGATGTTTCTTTCCCTTCCTCTCTGAAATAAAAATATATTAAAATAAAATTTTAAAAATGTTGATGATTAAGGTGGTAAGAAGAAAACTTGGCTATTCATACTGATTAAGTCCTGGCAAGACAAGACAGTAGAGATTTCCCTCTTTTGAATAACCAACCTATTGGTATATGCTATGGAAGCATACTATGGAATACGTTCTGTTTCTCATATATAATACCTGTGACAACAGTCATTAGAGTTCAACTTTCTCCTTCTCTCCTTACTATCCTTTCATTTGCAGCCATCTCTTAGTGTTAACTCTCCCTAGTATACATACAGAACTTCTATTTTTATATGTAAAGCCCATTATTCCAGAATTCTACTTAGTAGTTGGTTTAGCCAAGACTCACTCTACTACTTGACAATGTACCTAATCTGGAGTTACGTTTGACACTCATTGAATAAATATTTAAATAGTTTCTAATATGTGCCAGGCATCATTCTATATACAGGAAACTACACTGAACAAAATTAAGTACTAGCCCTGGCTGGTGTAGCTCAGTAGGTAGGGTATTGTCCCATGCACCCAAAGGCTGCCTTTTTAATTAATAGACAGGGCACATGCCCACATTGTAGGCTCAATTCCCAGTAGGGAGTGTGCAGGAAGCACATTCTCAATGTTTCACTTTCACATTGATGTTTCTCTCTAAACTTCAACAAAAAATATTTTACAAAAAAACAATAAAAACTATGCACTAGATGTCAACTTACTTCCCAGAGGGGGAAATATCAATGAATATCCCAGGTAAGAAAAAATGTAGTAGAGGATAGAAGGTGACAGGAATACCATATTAGATTGGCATGAATATCTACACTAATAAAAGAATAAGATGTAAATTGACCGTACCTTTGCAACACCCACCAGCCAATCAGGAGTGAGTATGCAAATTAACCCAACAAAGCTGGTGGGTTAATTTGCATATGAAGGCATCGAGGGGGAGGGGGCATTTGGCGCTGCCCCAGCCCCTCTAGGCTTCTGGGCAGCGTGGGAAGGAGGAAAGGTGGCTCCGGCTGGAGCAAAGGCAGTGCCAGCAGCTAGGGGAAGGAAGACCCATTCCTGCACAAATCTTTCTGCATTAGGCCTCTAGGAGAAGAAATGTATGTTGCTTTGCTACAACCTACAAAAGCAAGTCAGTCATATTGGAAAAGTGGAAACTAACACAAAATGTCCAATGTAGGGTCTGTTATATTAGTTAGCTTAATAATCTTCAGGCAAGGTATAAGTGGTCATAAGAAATCTATCAAGTAGAATCTTCCAAATCATAAATAAACATTATCCAACTTGGATGTGAGAGGATGGTAAGTCACATAACTAATTCATTACATTTCTATGAGTTTAAAAGTTGTACAGAGACCATACCATATATAGAAGTATATTTTGCCACTACATTTTTTAAAATATATATATATTTTAAATATCTTTTTATTGATTTCAGAGAGGAACCATATATGGATGTCTATTTTGCTGCTACCTAAAAAATAACTATATTTTTATTGATTTCATAGAAGAAGGAAGAGGGAGAAAGAGATAGAAACATCAATTATGAGAGAGAACCATTGACTGGCTGCCTCCCACATGCCCCCGACTAGGGATTGAGCTCACCGAGCCAAACAGGCTAGGGTTCAAAATATATTTTTATTGATTTCAGAGAGGAAAGGAGAGGCAGAGATTGATAGAAACATCAATGGTGAGAGAGAATCATTGATCAACTGCCTCCTGCACGCCTTGCACTGGGGATCAAGCCCACAACCGAGGCATATGCCCTTGACCAGAATCAAGCCTGCGACCCTTCAGTCCACAGGCTGACGCTCTATCCACTGAGCTAAGCCTGCTAAAGCTTTGCTACTACTTCTAAAAGGGGACTTAAATCTCAAGTTGGACTTCTTAAAATTCATACTTAGAAATAAACTCCTGTAATCCCCCGCTTTCTAAAATATTTTAATCATTTCAAGAAAAATTTTTAAAGCGCCCAGATAAAATCGGTGTCCTTACTTCTCCCCCATGTCAAATATTATATCAAATCATTACCAAAAAGACTACAAATAGGCTTTATATCCTAGCTTACCCTACACAATCCACTTCTTGAGGATAATTTACCGAGCGAAGCACTTGTTCGAGGTTCCGTAAGCTTCTCTTCAAGTCGCCTGTTGCCATTATTTAACATTACATTCAGCTCCAGCTTTTGAAATAATCTAATATTTCACCTAAAAGTAAAAATTTATAGAACAATTAAGGCTGTGTATTTTTGAAGTTTCTCTATCTTATTTTGTTCACATCTCCATACTTACCTTTGCTTAGCTACTTCTCCCCTAACAATACTTCCATACTGGTCTAGTATTGCCTGGTATTTACCTGATATTCCTGAATATAAGGTGTGTTTTCCCCCCAATATTTTTCCTTATAAAAAAAGTTTGCTTTATATTCACGTTCTTGAAATGTGTCTCATATATGATACTCTCCCAGATACTTTATTTTGAACAATGAAGTACCATTTGAGAAGACACATCAATCTGAAATAGTATCCATCAAGGACTATTTTGGATAATTATGAAGGATACATATTTTTAAAAAATCAGTCAAAAATGGAGAAAGAATTAGCACAGACTTAGTCCTAATTCCTAGAGCTCTGACCTCACCCAGTTGCCAATAAGATGATTTGGTTAAAAAACAAGTGATTAAAAACCATATATCCTCACCAGGACAAATAGAAATATAGGGATTCCATGACAGAAGAGATATCAACAAAATTTTGGAAGATGGAAAGCAGATGGATGAGTATCAGCCAACCTAGCAGCACAGACTGGCCAATCCCACCTGTCTATTTAGGAGAAAACCAACAGCAGCAACATAGGTTCAGAAATGAGAGGCCCCTTACAGTTCTGCAAGTGGTAAGGCCAAGGGGGGGTTGAAATAAGGATGACTATATGAAAGTTTATATAAAGAGCTGCTAAATCCTAGCTTTTTACTTCCCTTCCTGTCTCTGACACATAACTTGTTCAACTGGGCAATTAGTTCTCTGTTCCCCTGGCTTTAACTGTCCTCTAGATTGTTTCATATATATATGAAATATATAAATTCTAATACTTGAATTTTTGAACAATTAAGTCAATGACTGAATAGTAGCAGCTACCTTCTTTCAGTGCTGGAGTGAGAATTTATAGATAAGCAAAGGGAGGAGACAAGAATAAGCCATGCCTAATGGATTAGTTAGAGACATCAGTATGAATTTATGTGTAGCTTAATACAGATACATATAGTTGCATATTGAATTATTTATAGATATGTAGATATAGACAGCTTAGTGTATACACATTGATTTCTTCTCTCTGCCAGCTGAAAGTGACTAAAAGCAACGGCACCCCAGTAGCAAAGAGCACACATGGCATCCAGATCTTGGTGTGTAATGCTATTCTCCAATAAAAGGAACCAGGGCTCCCTGGAGAAAAGACCAAATGTAGAACTGGGGCAGGAAATATGCAAAATGAACCTGAAGCATTATGTAGTTCCAGAAAGTAAAAGCTACACACAAAACAAACAAATCCAACACTGATAGGGGTACCTCAAAAGGGCATAAAAGCCAAATGAAATAGCTCCCAATGGTCAAATTTAACACAGTTTGAACAATAAAATTAATAAATTAGTATGACATTATCCAAGGTATAAAACAAAACAAATCAATCAGTATAATTCAATACATTAACAAATAAAGGAAAAATCATAATTTTAAGACACGCAAAACAGGCATTTGCTAAAATTCAATACCAACTTATTATATAATTCTTATGACACTAGAAATAGAAGAGAACTGACTGCATTTGATAAAGATCATCTTCAGAAATCTCTTGTAAACATCATACATCATAATAGTGAAATACTTAAAACTTCTTCCTGAGATTGGGAATGAGGCAAGCTTATCTAGCTTCTTCATTTCTATTTAACATTGTACTAGAGGTAGTAGACAGTACAAACATACAAGAGAAAGAAGTAAAAGGCATAAAGACTAAAAAGGAAGAAATAAAAACGTCACTATTCACAGACAACATAACTGTATATGAAAAAAAAAAAAAGAAATAAGTGAATTTAACAAGGTTGCTAGGCCAATTGTATTTCCCAAATAATTAAAAGGTGTTTAAAAGTTATATATCTATAAATAACTCATGATAGCCTCAATAAATAATCACAAACATGTGAATAAATCTGGAGAATGTATGTAAGAAAGACATCAAATGAAAAACTCATAAATCTGTAGTGAGATATATTAAAGTAGCCCTAAATAGAAGAGATATACACCTTGATTAATGATTGGAAAACTCAATATACTGTATATTGATCCATAGATTCAATGCATTTCCTCACCCTCCCCCAAAAAAATTCCTGCAGTTTTTCATAGGTAGAAATTCACATGCTGAGTCTAAAATATATATAGAAATGCAAAAGATAAAGGACAACTATCAAGATAAAAATTAATGACTAGATATCAAGATTAAGTCTAAAGTTAAATTTGGAATAAGTGAAAAGATGTACAAATAGAACAATGGAACAGAATACAGTCCAGAAACAGACCATTGACACTAAATTTATGACAAACTTGATGCTGAGTAGCCCTGGAGAAAGAATGGTCTTTATCCATAAATGTTACTTTGTCAACTGAATATCCAGATGGAATAAATAAAACTTGAACCCCTGATGTAAAGGGTACCTCACTTCCTTCACAAATTAATTTCAGGTTTGTTGAAGATCTAAATATAAAATATAAGACAACCAGATTTTCTGGAGATCACATAAGAGAATAATCTTTATGAACTTCGAGTATAGAAGAATTTATCTTATGATTGATAAAATGAAACACATTAAAATGAGTAACTTCTGTTCATCAAAAGAACACCTTTAAGAGAGTAGAAAGATAAGCCACTGAGTGGGAGATGATGCTGTCATATATGTAACTAACAGAAAGATTCATATCTAGAGTATGTAAAAAAATTCCTACAAAATAATAAGAAAAGAAAGATAACTCAATAGAAAAATGGGAAGAAGCCTGAACAGAAATTTGATGGAAAGGTAAACATGTGAAAAGACACTCAACACAGTTAATTATTAGGAAATTAATTACAAAGTAAATTTAAAAATCTGAAATCTATAGAATTCTGTGAAAGAGTGTATTAGTGTTACTTGGCAATATAGGCTATTACTAGTAAAGGTGGCATACTCCAAAAAATATACATAACAGAATATGTATATATTTGTGTGCAGCAAAACACATGAAAAGTATTTGACATTTTAAATAAAATGGTTCACTCTTTTAAAATCCCAAAGAAAATAATACCATGGGATTATATTTTTAAATGACTCATGTGGTAGGGCTTTTGTTAGATTCTCCAAAGTAAAGGTTATTCCCTAAGAAGGCCATAAAATAAATATATTTTTATAAAAAATAGTTAAGAACCTTTGCTAAAAAAAGATGAAAGAGATATAGTTTACCTAACTTATAAGTCTGGTCAACCACTAAGGCAAAGCACAATAACACACTTAAAAATGTCTACTTGTAACTGTCCATGGACACTTCGTAAAAGGGAAATAATACATAACAACACCTTGAGCAATGAATCCTCTGGGAATGAAGCTTCTTTAAAGTGAAGCCATTGACATTAAAAACAAAACAACAATTCACAAATCAGGTGAAGTAGAGTTAGCATGATATTTCTCCCAGTCAACCTCCAGCAGTTGTCCAGGATACAAATCATCTCTCTACATACCTTCTCTCTAACCAGAGGCAATAAGGCTAACAATGTGCACAATCCTAAATTTAGTAAACTTTCTAGTTTAAAGCTCCTAGGCATCCCATTCTGAACCTTTTCTCTATTTTAGGAGCACAGTATCTTCCTGATCCAAGTCTCCTCTCCTTTATCAATATGGCAAAGAACAGGTTATTGACTATATTTTTATACACTCATGCAGGTGTTTTATCACTATTTTTCAGCCAATCAATTACTTCAACTAAGCATTTATATTTTTAGGCAGGAGGAATTTCAGGACCTTTCAAAGGGGACATAACTAGAAAAGAAAGGAAGTAATCCTCAAATCACATTATACAAAACACTGGCCAATAAGACAAATCTTTTTTTTTAACATTATTTAAGATGATTGGGGATCAACAGATATATGGAAGAAGAGAGCTGACTTCTCCAGAACATACCAGCCTTTACTTCCCAGGAAAAGATGAGGCGGGAACTAAGCTGGCTGTAATTGTCATTGGCCATTATAGAAGGTCTGAGGTTGAGTTTCAGACATATCTATTTTAACACAATTCTTCTTGGAGCACCTTTTCCCCTCAGACATTCTATAACTTCAATATAAACTGTATTTCTCCCACAGACTTCCTTTAATCCTGTATATACCATTTTCTAGTACATGTAATTTCATTTAACACTTCATGATATCTATCCCATCTGTTTTCTCTGTAGCTCTGGAACATATATTAATGTCTCATTATTTCTACCTCTGGTAATGGAATTTTTTTTTACCATAAAGTATGTCCCTGGAACACATCCTCTTCAGGACCAGCGGAATAAATATTTTGAAGAAGAGTAAGATAGTAGTACAGCTTGAATCTGTAGGTGAAGGAAATAAGTGATAAAATATATATATATATACATATATATATATACATATATATATATATATATAATAAAGGGGTACAAAATGTGAAATTATAGAAACAATTATAGTTACTGCTCTATATTTTCATGAAAGCCTTTACCTCAAAATTAAAAATTAAGATATTAAAAGAAGTCGATCTCTAACTTATGCACATTTTAACATAATACTTTCAGAGATGAAAAATAACATAACTTAAAAAAATAACATTTACACTTTATAACCCGTATCAGAGAAAAGTAAAAGAAGATATTACTCAGCTTGTAGCACAGATTCAACCATTAAGATGATCTCAACATTGCTTCCTTAGCTTCCTCCAGAGAGCTCTCTCCGCAGGTCAGATCTGCCCAACTGAACCCAATTTTCAGTGTAGCTAGAGATCATGGCTGTTGGAGGTCATGCAAGGATGCCTCCCAATGGAATGCCATTAAACTCAGTGACTTTTTTTTTTTTAATCAAAATGAAGTAACTACACTGACTATAGCGATTGTGCTTGATGACTTAAGTTTATGACATTGCTCATATTGCTAGATATTATCTAAAAACCGTGCATCCAAAATAGAGGAGTAGAATGAGGAAAAGTTAAGTTTATAAAACTTTTCACAAAAGATTTAGGGAAATGCTATTCTAAGAGATAGGGAAGAAAGGGCTGGGAAAGAAAACGTTGAGAAAATGGGGGTGGAAGGTGGAACAAAGGAAGTAAGGGACAAGCATAGACAGAGCTCAGTAGGACTGTCGTGTTGAAAGGTTTGGACAACTTTGGAAAAACAGATTAATACAGACCTAATTCCGGAATCAAAACGTCAAGATTGATTTTTTTTTTCATAGTGAGGGAAAAATCAATAGTCTCCTAGGAAAATGATAAAATATTGAAACACAAGGGAGATGCAAGCAAGGAACTCACCCACTACTTTCATCTCTCCCTTCTAGCCAGTATTCCCAAGAGGCTCCAATGGGAGGGATCCGTCTATCACTTCCCTACCGTAAATCACAACCTCATCTCAGAGGGTGAGCTTCCACGGTTCTTCCCCTCCACTAGGTTTATAAAGGTATGAAGAGATGAAAGGACAGACCTGGCCATTCGCTCCCACCCGGGGCTTCGGTAAAGGCATCCAGAGAGGAGACCTCAGCCCAGTCTAAGATGCAGCCTCGCCAGCTCCTCGGTGCTTACCCAGCAGCCACGGAGCAAAGAAGCGGACTCCGAAAAGAAAGGGGGAGGGGGGGGAGGGGTGAGCGTCCTATGCAACCGGAGATAGCCCTGGAGACCAGCCTCCAGCAACAAAGCCTGGCAGCCGCACCCCCGCGCCTAGGATGCGCTTCTCGCGCCGACCGTTTGTATCTGCAACAGCGGGTCAAAGCCCGCCACGCAGCGCGGCGGACCTTCCGAGCTGCAGGCTTCCCGCGCTCCGCGATTCCTCGCTGCAGATTCCACACCGGGTTCGTCCAGTCCCCCCGAAGACGCTGACGCTGCTGAGAGCCTTCTCCATAGCCAGTCCGATCTTAAGCTGCAGAGGAGAAATTGTTCCCCGTTTGGATGCCCAGAGTAGCTCCGGAGGCGAAGTGAGAAACGGGGACCCTGTAACGAATCGTACACAGCGGAGACAAAGATGTTTTTGCTTTCCGCCTCAGGCCGCACACGTCACTTCCGGCAACAATAGGAAACGTCAAACCTCAAGCTGTCGGCAGCCCTCGCTGCTGCAGCTTGAGGGGCGCTCCGTTTGGAGGAAGCCAGTGCTGCTGTTTCTGGGGTTCTCGCCGCCCGCACCCTCACCGGCGTGAGCCAGTGACATCGGAGCCGGCTTCTCCATGGCCTGGGCACCAGTTCCCGGCTGAGCTCTTTTCTTTTTTTGGCTGGAAGCCCCCGTCGAGAGGCCGATTCGTCGCGGCGGCGGTGGGGATCTCAGGTCGCTCAGGTACAAGCGTCAGCCTAGTATTTCAGAGCTCTTGCTTCTTCTCCCCCCTTACACCCCCACTCTTCTCCTCGGAAATGAAGATAACTGGTGCTCGCTAGTTAGTAGAAACTTGCCAACCAGCAAGACTTTGGGACCAATGACAGCGCAAAGCTTCTTGAGTGACAGCGGTGACGGCTTATTAAAGGGAGGAATAAGGCGGTGTCAGCAGGCGGGAGAATAGGTGTGTTCCTTGGGTTTTCTAGGCCATTGAGGTCAGCTTGGGACCCTACGTAGTGACCCAACTTCATTCTGAAATAAATGAGAAGGGGCAATGATTATCCTCTTCTAACCCAAGTGTTGCTTTTCAAGCAAAGTAGGTTTTGTTTCCGTTGTTATTTTTGTGCCTATTTATTTATTTTGGTGCACAGTTTTAGGTTCTTTTACATACTTTTCAGTAATATGTATGCAAACCCAGTTATAGTCACTATAGATTGCCAGTTGCTTCAGTTATCAAACTTTGGTTATAAATTTTAAAGATTCTTTGTGTGTCCTTTTTTGTTTCTCTGTAACTGGGCTTTGGTTTCTTGTACGGTGGATGCTCGATTAAATATTAATTGGATGAAATAACATAAATGCTTCCTAATCCTCAGCCATTTAAGGTTTTCGTTGTTTTATTTTTAGGCTCTATTTATGTTTTGTTCAGGTTTGGTGATTTAGCAATGGAGTGTGCTTGTTTTAACAAGTGGAATTTAGATTTTAAAGGATTCCCAGTGTTTCTGTCTAAATCGGTATATCATGATGTTTACTACTGCAAGGTGGGGCTAATTTATGTTTTCCATTTCAGTTTTTCTTCTTCCTCTTTTCATGTTTGGCGTTTGGTGACCTTATTTCTGAGGTAGAAGCCCCCGCCCCCCCGCCCATGTAAGAAAATGGTTTGCAAAATCGAGCAGAATGAAGAATACATTTTTTCCTGTTTTTTCAGGTTAAGTGAGAAATTTCCCATTTTTATCGTTAACTTGACAATTTGTCTAATTAGATACTTTATTAGTTATCCATTGCTGAGTAACAAATTGCTCCCAAATTTAGCTGCTTAAAATAACAAGGACTTATTATATCAGTTTCTGTGGGTCAGAAATTCATGAAAAGCTTAGCAGAGCACCTCTGACTCATGGTCTTCCATGCAGTTGTGGTCAGGCTGGAAATGGGGGCTGAGCTGTCACCTGAAGAGTCTCTTGAGGGGTAGAAGGATCCACTTCCTAATGCACTCACCTTGTTATTGGCAGGCCTAGTTTTCTGCCACATTGGGCTGCCTCACGGTATAGCAGCCGGCTTCAATCTAACAGAGTCCCAAAGACTCTCTACAGTCTTTTATAACCTAATCTCAGAAGTTTTTTCCCATCACTACTGCCATGTTGTTTGTTGGAAGTGAGTAAATAATCCAACCCCAAATCTATTGTACCTGGAGTGGATTACATAGGGGCTTAAGTCCCAGGATGCCAGGATCTTTGGGAGCCATCTTAGAGGCTGCCTAACAGATACCCTGCCTGATAAATTTTAGGAGTTAATAGATAGGAATAACTGAGTAGAAATGAGGTCAGACTCTAAAGAAATAAACAAACTTATACAAGCCTTATCTTGCTTGAAAAAGGTTTTGTTTGTTTTTGTCTCTTTCCCTCCCCCCCCCCCCCCATCTTCCTCTAATAATTATTTGAAGAGAGGCTTATTATTTTGCTTGGGAAACTGCCTGAGGGATGATGTGTGTCTGAGGAATGCGTGTGTTTTTTAAGGTCTCTGTGTGCAGAGCATATCACAGCTGGCGATTATGTATTTCTTACTCATTGCCTTTTTATATGGTTGAAATTGTATCAAACCAAACATGAGCAACGTTAGCTTTTGAGGACGAAAGAAGTTAGGAAAGGGTAGAGGAAAGCCTTCTGGCTTGGAAAGAAGGCAGATCAGTGGCAGTCTTTATGATGGTATTAGAACAAAAAGGGATGGGGGGAGGTATGTCCTAGAGTGGAACTAACTGTATATTGTATGTCTGCTTTTATGCACTATTAGGTGGCAGGTACCACCTTTTCTGGCATTACCTGGATGTACATTACCAGCACAGCTTTTGTCAGTGAACCATATAAGTTTATCAGAAATGGAAGGTATAGACTTCAGGTTTTCTTCTGACAATGTTTTGGCTGTGATCCACTGTAAAAATGTCTATGCTTCTTCCAAGTTTTAAAGATGTTGTAAATCCTTATCTGCGAGTAAAGTATTACTCAGGTTTATCTCTTATCCCTCAGGGGCTTAATACCATCCTGATTGTGTCAATTCTCAGATTGTAAATTTGGCTTTTAAATTGGGGCTCCCTATCAGGTTAACATACTTCAGTTATAGTAATTTGGGGCCCTTAGATGGCTGCAAAATTTTAAACAGATGCTTACAAAAGTAACACAGTTGATGTACTTTCACCCATAAAATATCTTAAGGTAATAACTTCTAGATAAGCTAAAACATGAATTGTAATTTATTATGTATGATCAGTTTAATAGGGAATGCTTTGTGTGTTTGTTGTTTTGTGGGAACTAAAACATTGAATTACCAAGAGATGACCTTTTTTAATCATAATACATTGAAATTAGTCATTCAGATTTATGATTTTTTAGTTCTTTGATTAGCCAACTATTTTTTTCTATACCTTGATTCAAATTTGGAAACAGACTAATGCCTTGGTTGGCCTGTGATAATGCATGAAAATAATTAATATTGAGAGTCTGTGAAATATATACATCTAACCCATGATACTTTTTCATTGAAGTATTTTACTTAAAATAACTTTAATATCATACATCTACTTCTAAAAAATTATGTTCCCCATTTCTTTATTTTTTCTCATCATTCCGTTATTCTGACAAATTTATTGACATAGATTCTACACTAAAACTAAAATGTCCTGACTTGAGTAAGATTACATCATATTTGGCGCAAATACTTTTGTGATATAGAGATGAGAAAAGATATTTGTGGTTTCAAATTTATGCAGCAGATTTAGGGAGTTTAGCTCTGTAATCAGCAATTTGCATATTCTTCAAGAACAGGATTTCATAAACTGATTGAAAGAAGGAGTGAGATTTTAGCAAGTGAGTCATGCTTGGAGAGTCATGCTTGGAGAACAAACCCTTATCTGCTCATGCTGAATAGTAATTTGTAGAAGTCATGAACGTGGAAAAGAGAGATGGGAAGGGCAGATGCTAAATACACTCACACATACATACATCTGTCTCCATCACCTCTTCATTTTACCTTCTAAAAGAATGTTTTCTCATTTTATTTTTATAGAATCATAGAATTTTATAGCTAAAAGAGACCTTAGGGATCATCAAGTTCAAAACCCTTGTATTACAGGTGAGGAAACTGAGACTTTGAAATTTAAGTGACTTGCTCAGTACCCACAACTAGTTAAAGAAGGAGCCTGAATCAGAACCATGTTTTGTATCGGAATCTTTATTATTAGATGTTTCTCAGCTCATTTCTGATTTTTCCCCTACTTGGGGCTTCCTTTGATATTTATTTTACTTTAACACATTGTTTGGTTTGTATAAAAGTAATTCAGTCTTTGTTTTGTTTTTAATTCCACAACTCATAGGAGTGGCCAGTGTGGTTGGTGGGCATGGAGTGTGGTATGTCCTGAGGAGGTGAGTTGGGATATGCAGCTGCTGATTATAATTGGGTTGAGTAAATAGTGTAGTTTAAGTAAAAGCCATGCCATTGTAATTAAAAATAATGCTGGTGAGGAATATGATAAATTTATTTAAAAGTTAAAACAGACAGTGGAACATTTTTTGAAAAAGAGGCCGAAGAAATTAAGTAGGCACACAGTTCTCAGCTTTTTGGTTACATTTAAATGACACATCTTAATTTTTACATTTGTTTAGATGCCATTTGGTAAGACTCATTACAGAATCAAATTAAAGAACAGGAAAAAGCCTCCAGAAAACAAAGTAATATTGTAAATCTTTGTGAATGAAAACAAGTACAACTGGTATGCCTTTTAGGAACAAAAACTGCTCTTGCAGGACCAGATCTTTAAATTTAATGAGTGGGGTTTTTTTTTATGTGTTTAATGTACCCTATGACCTCTCAGTACTTAGCTATTTCCCTTTTCTCCTTAGAAAGACCTCCTTGTGGACGGACCCTTCCTTCATTTCTTTACAGTTGTTGCCTTTCAATTTTAGAGGTGTGATTGGTTATCAGGTTTTTTTCTTTCCTTTCCTTTTTTTTTTTTTTAATTCTCTACTCAGACTTTTCTAAACTACTTTGGTG